TTCGGCTGAAGTTATGAGGCTTAAAAACCGCACAAACACTTGATGAAATTAAAGCTTTTTCATTGATGTAAAAGTAGTACAAAAGGAGGGGCAGAGAGCCCGGTTACATATGCAAAGCAAACAATGAAAGAAAAAGAGAACTACACTAGGGAGGAAAGATTAGAGAACTCGTCATCAGCTGCTTCCAGGTCGACCGTAGTTCGCTCTTGGACACCGGCCTCAGTTTCTCCGAGCTGCTCCTGGCCGCTTCTCTCCTCAACATTGACCTTGGTTTCTAACACTTTGTTTCAAGATCAACTCACCACCCAAAGGCGATACCACACAAATAGGAGATGCTAACTGTGCCAACTCCAATTCTAAAACAGATGCAAATGCAGCAGATACAAAAGAATGAGATGCACCCGTGTCAATCAACACACTAGCAACCGAGTTGCAAAACAGAAAAGTACCTCTCACTACCGATGGAGCCAGTACTAAATCCTGCGCGGTAACAACATACACGCGCCCCGTAGGCCCCTGGTCAACCTGCTCACCCCTCGGAGCAAAAGACTGCTGCACAGACTGGGATGACGAAGCTCCCGGATTGGCCCCTGAGGCCTGCACAGACTGAGCTGGATGAAAACCCTACGTCTGCCTAGAACCAGACGCTCCCGAAGTGGCACTCAACTGCGGGCAAAACCTCTTCAGGTGCCCAGGCTGTCCACACTGATAACAAGACAAGGGCTGCCCCCTGCCCACACTCTGGCTCTGCGGTCTAGCTGAAGAGGAAGCAGCTCTCTGACCCCCACCCTTCTGCGGGCAAACAGAAACGTTGTGACCCAGCTGGCCACACTTGTAACAAGCAAACTCCCCCTGATTGCCTCTCCCCGAGCCTACACTCGGCACTGGAAAGGTCGATCTAGAAATTGCACCCTGAGGCTGCTGAGGGTTATAACCCCTTTGCCTCCTGCCATCACTCTGACCATCCTAGCTCCTCTTGGAGCCCCTCTGCTCTTCCTCCTCTTCCTGCATCATAATTTCCATATGAGCAGCAGCATCTACCAGGTGTCTATACTCTCGGATGTAAGACCCACCAACTCTCAACTTGAGGCCCCGCCTCAACTTCCTCTCAAACTCATAGCAACAGCGTTCCTCAGACGCCACCAGTTCAGGTGCAAACCTGGACAGACTGGTAAAAGTAGCCTCAAACTCGGCCACTGACAAGCCCTGCTGTTTGAGCCGGCTAAACTGATCCCTCAGCTTCTCCCTAGCTGCTGCAGACAAAAACCTCTCCTGAAAAGCATTTACAAATGCCTCCCACGTACCCCCAACATGAGCCTTCTCGTACTTCCACCATTGACCCGCATCTCCCTTTAGTTGGAAGGATGCCAAGGTCACTTTCAATGCTCCGTCCTCGATGCCAAGCATCTCGAACGTCTTACTCATTTGCTCTAGCCACTCATCAGCCTTCAGTGGCTCCTTCGGATCTCCGATAAACTTATCCGGGTTAGACCGGAAAAACTCCCTCTTCAAGAAAGAAGGCCCTGCCTCAACTGCCTGATTTCCAGCTCTAAGAATACCCAAAGCTCCTGCTATCTCTCCAGCCAAGGCACCCATGGCCTGCTGACCCGCTGGCTCGGCTACATTGGCCTGGCCAACACCCTCCTGCACTGCCGGAACCTCCTCCGGTAACGGTACTTCCTGCCTCGCAGGTCTACCGCCCCTAGCACCTCTTCCTCATCCTGACATCCTAATAAAGGCAACACAGAACGTTAGCACATCCACAAATGTGCCAAAACTAAACACTCACGTCCTAGTGCATGGACAACTGTAATTCACTCCATGTAAGCACATAAACACATTAGCACTTACGAATTTCGTTTCCGGATAATGATAGTCCCGAGGCGTTACTAGAGTTCCGGTTAGAAACAGCATTGATCAAGTGCTTTTCCAACAAGACTCCCAGAAACCCAAGGATCCAATCAACATCCTAGAAATTAAATCCCATACCCACATAATCACATAAGCATGTTATCAATTAAGCACATAGCATATGATACTACATCTAAGTCTCTATCAAGCGAGACAAACCCATTGTGATCCTAATCACTTCCCACGTACCCAAAGTATTCGAACCCGGTACGCTCTGATACCAAGTTGTAACGCACTCAAAATAATAACATTAAACCCAACAAATAAGACAAGCGTTGATAGATAAACTAACCACCTTCTATCATTCATTAGAATTCCATTACATAAGTATTACATGTTAATCTCATAACAAAATGCCCTACGGGCTTACAGCTTTCCAAGTTAACACTTGGTTACAACAAAGAGTGAACTCCGAAAGTCACATTAAGCCCTTGGCTTGAAATTACATGTAATACATCAAAAAAAATAAAAAAGGAAATTGTTATTAATTGGGCCTAAGGCCGTTTGGAGCATGTTGTTCTACATATTGTTATGTAACTGTCATGTTTGATATTATTCACTGGGCTATCGCTCACGCTCATTCATGTGTTTGTAGGTGAGCCAAGGGAAGTCCAAACCCAGCCCCAGTGAAGTCTGCTAGGAAAATCCGAGTTTTGAGGAAGTCAGCCTTGTGTCTCACTCTTGAGACCTACCTTGCCTTTTTGCTATGTACTTATGTTTTGTCTTGTTGGCAAGGGCCTTGTGTATATCTGTAAATAGTCTGTTATAGGATGGCTCATTTTGAATGATCCTGTCTGTAATGAATTTTGTGAAACTGTACCTTTGATGTGGGTTATTAACGCATCTGAACATGGTTTGTTTGATGTGCATATAAGCACAGCTCTATGGACAAAGTTTTTAATTATTGCTTCCGTTTGGCCCCTTTACTCTGACAAGTCATCATGTTTTGTTTTGAGGCCGTAGGTGATCTCAGGATTACTGGCCGGTTATGTCCTTAACCCATAGGGGCGGGTTCGGGTCATGACAGTACATCCCCCATCTCCTCCTCTACACATAACGTATACAAACACATTGGTTCTATATACAATCACTCAATACATACAGTTAATGTATTCTATCAACCGTCGAATTCCATGACACATTCCATATGATTAGTTTCCGTTTGCCTAATCATCATGCATTGTCTACAACAATCACGACTATCCTCCACCGATAGCCCAAAGCAGTTATTTCTAAACAGAAAATAAATGCACAAATGGATATTCAATCAACATTTCATTCCGGTGAGTGATAAATAATTCAACTACACCCTTTGACCCCATACATTCCCAATTTCAACAATTCCATTTCATTTCCTCATTTCTCACAATTAATTATCCCAATTAATCAAACAATGTAATTAGGTCATTTTCCTAAATTAACATTTCAACCCTTAGGTCCCATTTTCATCAATGATTTAACATTCATTCCATTTCTCTATGCCAAACATGCATCTAGGTTTATTATAAATAAAACCCCAACTTTTGTAAAATTACACAAAAGCCCCGAACTTTCACAAAATTACCAAACCAACCCCAACATCTCAAAATACTAAAATTTAAAGATAAAATTCATAGAGAGGAGTAGGATATCCCTACCTCAAATTCGGAGCCCCAAAGGAGAAGATGACAAAACCCAACGTGCTCCAAATCTCGACATATTCAGATTAAAATGTAGCCCTCGACGATCAACAACTTTTTTGTAAAGGCCAAAGGTGAGCAAATCACTCCTACTAGATCAAAACCTAGAGAGAAGGTAAAATAAATAATGAACTAGCTCAACAATGGTGTTTGTGGAAAGAGTAAGAGAGTAGAAGAGAAAGAAAAAGTGATTTGGAAATACCCAGCGATAACTCATATACGTAGACCCGCTCGAGCGGAGAACACAACGCTCGAGCGCCAAGAACAAAATCTGGACACGCTCGAGCGCAATAATGCCCGCTCGAGCGCCAAGACACAAGAATAAAGCACTTCCGCTTGAGCGCGAATACCAGTCCGCTCGAGCGCAGATTTCCACCTCGCAGAACTTACACCCAGAAAGTACTACCCGCTCGAGCGCCAAACGACCCGCTCGAGCGCTACCGCTCGAGCGTAAACAAACCCGCTCGAGCACAGAAATCACATCTGTAGAAGTTTTGCAGGAACCCAAAATACTGGAGGTGTGCAATACCCACTCGAGCGCAAGAAGACCCGCTCGAGCGGAACGCCTAAAAACTGAACAACAAGGAATTGAAACCAAGGCCTAACCAACCTGTAACAACCCTGCCCAACACATCCTATAACTCAAATACGAAGTAAAAAGGATGTAAACAAGATAATAATCAACTACCAACATCCACGGACACATGTCCAGATCACTGTACAACAAGGGTAAACCCAATATAAAGATTGCACTATCCCTTCCAATCATTTCCAAAATTCATTAAATAAAACCTCAAATTACTTGGACCCTGAGGGTTGTCACCATGCATCAAAAACCAATCACAGTAGATGGCTGATTAATTTAAAACATACTCACCCATCTAATGGAATGGGAGAAAAGCAGCATGTCATCAGATACCAGCTTGGCTTCAGAACCCGACCACTTAAACTCAACACAACAGCTCCTGGTCCACCCACCCATGCCAGGCACAATGCCAAGAAATTATAAATGACCCATGCTTCATATCTGAAACAGTATATTAAAAATTAGCATGTTCTACCAAAAGCAGTGTAAAGCTCTTGGAAAAAGACTTGAAAAGCTGAGATCACTGAGACCATTCAGTGAACACACATCTAATACTATAAAACGAGACAAGCTTTGGGATTAGCTCGGTATGTGAACAAATCACGCTACATTTTCAACGGTAAACAAGTCAAACTTGAACTCATTTTGAAACTTGTTCATTTTTCAAGCTAAATTTGAGCAACCAACTACTTGGCATGACTTCGCTTGTTTACAGCCCTATAACATGAGCACTAGGCAAGTAAATGAATAAAGTATTCACAATCTAAAAAAATATTCATCAACAACATCAAGTTTCAAAGCTTGAATACGAATTGGCTAGAACATCTGAAGAATGAGAAACAGATAAAACTATTGTATTTAAAGTCAGTTACAAAAGAAGTGGCGATTCCTATCATTGGTAGAGATATAGACTGGAATAGCATACCTAGAACTTCTAGAGCTACTGCTTCAACTGATTATTCAGCTCTCCCTGCTGAGCCACACATGCTCCAAAGTCATAGATACACCAAAGATTAAGTGCATGTCTGTGTATCCAAGCCAAATCGCCATGTAACAGATAGCAGCGCACGACCCAACAAGCTGCAGAAGTTAGTTGCAAAAACCAGAACACGTGGCAAACACAAATTACTGAAATCACTAGTCCCCATTCACACACACAAACGATAAATAAATAAATAAAATATGACAGAAAACGCAGAAATCAAAACCTTTAATTTTTAAGGTTGGAGAAATAGAACTGTGAATTGTATTAATCCTATATTGTATGGTTATTACAAGACAGGAAACTTATTAAACATTAGATGACAATACCAGTAACAAAACGGTAGTCTTCTCGGACCCCTGAGTTGAACTCCAGAGTGCTGGTGAAGAATCCACCATAACTGTCTCAGAATACAAATTTGGAAATATGTGAAGACCTGATGTAGCATCCCAAGCAAGTGCCACAGGTGGAAAACAGTGCAGTTTGCAAAGTCCTGCTACCAGGAAAGAGCTACCCTTAGCAGAAATAGAAAACAAAAACCTGATCAAAAGAAATGGAAAAAGAAAAAAAAAAAAAAACCTCTGATAGTAAGGAAATCCAGAGATCATAATTTTTTAAGCTAAACATTGAAAAGAAGAATAATGATGCCCCAACTGTCCAAATTTAAATCAAACCAAAGAAGATATACAATATTCAAAATACCAAAAGAACCCGAACCTTCAGTTAAGGTTTTTAGATTCATACTAGTAAGTCCAAATCCTATCATTTAAGAAACTACCATCAACTGACAGGTTTATTATTGTGTCAATGTTAAGGTTAAAACACCTTAGTAAAACTCTAAACACTCAACAAATGGAAAATTCATATTTAAATTGTAAGTTTAGAAAACCATCTTTTCCATGTTTTTAACTCTCCACGAGAGGACGATGTTGTCAGGGTATGAAAACCTGACAATTAGAAAAGCCTTTCTTTTTTTCTTTTTTTTTGATAAGTAAAATTTCAATTAAGAGACACAAAAGAAGGGGCTGCAATCCAACTATGCGCAAATTATACAAGATCATCAACTACAGGAAAACCTTAATGAGGTTGCTTATGTTCATTATATTCCACAAATTAATATATATATATATATATATAATCCATGTCTGAAATCAGGTTGACTTCATGGAAAATAAATACATAAAGAAAGCCTTACTGCCATTCTCCAGATCTCCAGCCTCTTCAACGGGGAGTACAGATTTTTTTATTCCACATCCTGTACTTTCCAGAGATAGTTTAACAGGAAAAAGACCTAAGCTAATAGCAAATGACATATTGAAAGCAAGAGGATGGTCCTCCTTCAATATTATGTCCTGTGCAAAATTTAAGTAATGAAGACGTCAGTAGATGAATAAAACTATATAATCCAGATTAAATCACACCTAGAAGCTGCTTTATGGAAGTACTGACCTTCGGAGAATAAGTTGAGAGAAGCAACAACTGAGGAAACAACTCAAATTCCCCATCTTTTGGACTAAAGAATTGTCCAACTGCCATGGGCAGGTGGAGGCCTTCCTGAAACAGTCTGAGAGCCCGAAAGTCATAATGCATACATTCTCAACTTAAACCTCTTTCAAAAGTAACTAAGAGATGCTCATCACATTCAACAAGAGCAGAAGTAACATTCAAAAGATACCGCAGATACATAGGATATAAAATCTGTATGATCAACAGAGTATCACAATATAACATCCATACAGGATGAGAAAATGAGAGACTCCTCAAAACAAACAAAGATTATGGCATAATGAGAATATTATCATACTAGAAAATAGAAATTCATTTAGCAACAGGGAAAAAAAGAAAAGAAAGAGAAAAAGAAACAACAACAACACAACCATCAAAGCAAAACTTGTGTATTTAAAAGGCTTTATTGAGGCTGGACTCCAGGCGAGGCTAATGCAAACAGCATTAATGCTTTGATTTTTAGGCAACACTCCAAAAAGACATTCAAACAGAAGGAAGGACATAATAAACAAGATATTCAAACATAAAACAAAAGGGGGAAAAGAAAAATTAGAAATGAAAACATCAGTGCATATCCAGTCTTTAGGAAAGTGGCTCTAAAGATCTCATGTTTTTCCAATGGCAATTGCATTAGCAATATTAAAGAGAAAGTCATGCTACAAACAATGTTTTTCAAATAATATGCATTGCTCTGATTTCTGAGATTGCTTTGGAAAATTAACTACGGTGAATTTATGCTAGAATTTTTCTGATATAAACAAACACAAGTAGCCAAAAGGTTTCACAAAAGGAACCTGGAGAGGTATAGTTTCAAAAACCTTGAACTATTATGAATTGTCATGAACATATTCCATTTCCAAAAAGATGAAATTTATCCTGAAGCTAAGTTCAAAATCTTGTAGATGTAAATTCAGTGAGCAAGTTCAACCCACACCGTTGTCTCAAACTTTGCCCGAAAGCTTGAGCCATGAAAAGAACAGGGAATACGATTAAAGAAGCTCTTAAAAACAGTTGAACATCTAACCAAAGAAAAAGATTAAAAATAAGTGAATTGAGTTTCTGTAATTTTAAACCACAAAAGAACAACTTTGACCAAGCTCACCAGTTTCTCAATGTCTAACCACCGCCTTTTACCATCCATCGCTAAAACAGTGACAGTAGATGTCTGAATATATAGGTCCCTTTCAAGGCCATCATCAGTCCAACGAACATTACTGGGACAAGCAGACAGTGTATGCCCTTGAGATCCTGTAAGTATCACAACTTAAATTGTTATCTTCTCTAGACTTTGTAGTTCCCAATATTTAAAAGAAAGGAGGAGTAGAAAACAAACAGCTTCATGCATCAAAATTTTCCCACAAAAAATTAGTGACAACATTATTTTCTCACTAAAAGATCTCAAAAATATTAAAATATTTGGTGACAAAAATATATTTCTCACAAATAATTTTATAATTAGTGATAAATTTTTTTCACCAAAAATTCCAAAATTTTGGTAACACCCAAAACAATTAGTAGGAAATTTTTGTTTCAAATTATTGAGTCTATAGTTCTTTTTTATAGTTGAGTTTGGAGAAGATTGAAGTTGAAAACTGAAACTATAATTAGAAAACACAGACAGACTTTGTTGAGAAGGTAAGATGTATTGCATTTGCGTCATTTAGTGGGTTTTTATCTAATGCTAGTCTAGTAGGGTTCAATTTAAATTGAGCTGATAACCTTAGATAATTTAGTTTTGAACCTAAGAAACATGGACATGTACACACGACATGACACATTACAAGCTAAAGCGCCAATTTTTAAAACATGCAAGACATTGCATGTGGTAAACATGCACAAAATGTATGGCTTTATGTATTTATTATATGTCATCATGAATATTTTATTTAATTTTTCATGTTTCTTCTATTTGTGTTCTATTAGATCAACAATTGATATGCAATATTTTGAGGTAAATGATGATCAAGCCCACCCTGGACTGAAACCGGCCAAGTTGGTGGCCGGCTGTGATTGGCTACAGGTGTGGGACCCACAAACCTACAGCCAATCACATCTGATCACCTTGGTTTGTTTTGGCTCAGGAATGGGCTTGAATAGAAAAATTCATATTTCTGAAATAACTCATACTGAAAGAGTGATTTTTTTATTTTAACTATTGTTTTACAAAAAGGTTAACTTTTCTCTTAACTATCAAATGATTAATTATGTGCTGTTATGTGTATCATTGATCACACTGAATGAATGATATAAATTCTAGGCAAGGGGGTCGTGGGGGTCACTACTTAGAGGGGGTCCGGAACATTTTTGAATATTTTATTTAATAGGTCTCAAAAAATATTAATAATTCGGATCATTAAGATAGGCCTTAAAATAGGTTCACAAAGCCTAATAGTATCTCTTTGATTATCCAAGTTGAGAGCATCCAAACCCAAAAAAGAAATGTCTGATCAAATTTATTTTTAGTGTGACCGACCTATTAAATTAAGCTTGAATTTACATTATATATTTTATTTTTGAGTAAATTATATCATTGGTCATTTTAATTTGAGCCAAATTTCACTTTAATTTTCATAGTATAAATTTTATCAATTTAAATCTCATACTTCTAATTCCGTTATAATATTCCTTCATTTATTATTAACATTTTAGATAGTAAAACAATAGTTGTGAAATTGGAGGGATCAAAATATTCTCACATACCTGTTCAAAAAAAAATATTCTCACATAAGTTGAATGTGCTTTTTTTTTTTTTGTCCAAACTAGTGATGGCAATTGACAGGAGAGATCATATTGAACAGATTTCAAAAAAATTTGTCTCTCTTATGCCGGAGTAGCCTTGCCTCTCCTGGGCCGGAGTAACTATACCTCTCTTGGGCCAGAGTAACATTGCGGCCGTTTCACCAAGTCCTTGGCACTTTGGGCCACAAAGCCCATCACATAACTCGGCCTAATTTTTACCAAAAATTACCCTCTCAAATAGTATAATTTCCCCCTTCTATTTTTTTTTATTATTTTTTATTTTTTGAAATTTTTTGAAGTACTTTTTAGTAAACTAGTTATTATTATTATTATTGGTCGCCTAACTTTTTTCCATATTGAAGCCCAAATAAGCATGACTAGGACACCTTATGCCAATAGTAGTTACATGTTAAAAGCACAGCCCTGTCACCAGCAAGCCTCGTCTTCAAAGTACATCATTAGTGTCGTAGACGTGTTGTGTTTGTCAACCTGGCACTGATGGATCGCTGGGCTGGAGGATATCTACTTATATTAGATTTTAGGATTAAATGAATGTTTTTAAATTGATTTTGAATATTCACTTTCACATGGAAATATAATGATTAAAATCAATTTGTTGTTTATAATTTAATAAACCTTGAAAACGATGATCTTAATGGAGACAAGGTTTAAGACAGACGTGTGTTTTATGAGGACATCAATTTTGTATTACACTCTGAAGTTTTAGTATCTATAATGCTGCCATTGACAAGGATATGCTTTATCAATTTGGCATCTTATACCTAAAACACAGAGAAAATAAAAGGTTTATTGGTGAGAAATTCATATTTATGAAGGGATATGGTATTAGGTTTAACAATTAATCTTTTTTTGTGATAAGGACACATCAAAAAAATTGTTGAAAAATTGGTGATTGTACTTAATAGATCAACGATGATAGCTAGTAGCGGTGGTTGGTGGTGGTAAAATAGACAAATATGTGACATTTAGATAAGAAAAATGTTTCAAACCCCCTTTTCCTCCCACCCTCTTTGACCCCATTTTCCCTCCCATTGGCCAATTTTTCTTTTTCTTTTTCTTTTTCTTTTCTTTTTTTTCCTTCTCCTCCAATCACCATCCGCCACGTGTGTGGGGGGTGGTGGGGGTGGTGATTGGAGGGGGTCTCTATCAATGTTGTTTAGATAAATAGATGGATAAATAAGTGACACGTATATATATAGTTGATATTTAGATAGATAGATAAGCATGATTTGTACAATTAGGTGTGATTTTAGACAAGTAAATGTCTTTTTAGATCCAAAAGATTAAAACTTGGATCTATTGACTCACAAGTTTAAAAATAGACCTATAGCCTAAGTGCTGGAAAATAAAACCTAAAACACAACTTGCACAAAAATAGAAGAACATAGATATCAGGAGGTCTTTTTTTTTCCTTTTTTTTTCTTCTCTATTCATTTTTTGGGTATATTCTTTTACGAAAAATTACAAAAAAAAAAATAATAATAATAATTCCTAGAGTTTGACCATCGTAACAAAATAAACTCTAAATTTTTAATTTTATCAATTTAAATCCTAATATTTTTGATTTGTTTTCAATATAAACAACTACTTATTTCCATTGAATAAAACCAACTAAAAAAATAATCATTACTACAAAAACATTTAAAGATCACATTTTGACAAATGAAAATATCTCACTTTTATTAGAAGTGTGATAAAAAAAAAAGGGGTAAATTACAATTACACACCCTGAGGTTTGTTTAAAGTACAAATTATCCCTGTGATTTAGAAAATTACAAATATCTCCTTATTAGAATTTTTTATTTAATAGAATTAACTAAAAAAAAGAAATTCATAACTGTTCTCTTATACAATAATAAAATTATTTAAATTATTAATTAAAACATATTTCTAGTATCATTAAAAACTATTAATTGACTTAATGATTTATTAATAAAAATGGCGATATGTTATGAAATTAGAAACCTTAAGGGGTGAAATGTAATTTCTAGAACTGCAAGGGGCGATTCGTATTTTAATCAAACCTCTGGGGTGTATTTGTAATTTATCCAAAAAGAATTAGATTGATATTTTAATCACACTTAATTTGATTGAGTATGATAATATTTATTTTTCATGTCACTTTTCAATTAAATGTGATTATATATATTGTTTTTAACCACACATTCTAATTAACGTGTGATTATATATACACTATTACAATAATACTTAAAGATAATACCAGCATATTATTCATGCTATGCACAAGTATAAATAAATAATTAAAAATTAG